GGTCAAAATGGTGATGTCGTTTCTGAATTTTGAATTTTTCAATTAATGATGTGCCGTAATATTGCTACTGGTAGCAAATCCAATTTTTTTCGAATATTAATATCGGTCGCAAATTGAGGAGAGGTCAAAACGGTGTCAAGTGCGACAGCGACAGCTGTGGAGACTGCCGCTGCCCTAATGGAGTGGTTTGGACTCTTCGGTGTGGAGACCACATGGGTCTCTGACTGCGGGTCACACTTCAAGAACGACGTGATCACGCGGATGTGTCTTATGTTTGGTGCACACCGCCATTTCGTGACGACACACTGTCCTTGGGCAACGGGACGGTTCAGGTTGTAAAGGCTGCGACAAGAATTGCCCAACAATTAGGATGCACTCAGTAGGTCAGAATTGTGGGGTATTGAGGGAAGTTTTGTCTGGGAATATTATGGAAAGGCGTGCAATTCAATGCAGCTACGAAGACATACTACGTTTCTGCAATGACCTTGCTCTTTTACCTTGGCTTGCGTTAAGCCTTTGTCTTTTAAGAATTGTTCCAACATTCCTACCACTGTACTGTGCTTTCTTGAACTCCGTTGAAATGTTCTTTGAAATTGTGAAGAAAAAGTGCAAACGTGTGTACGTGGAACACTAGAAGGCAAAAGATCGGAATTGTCATAGAAGAGGTGCTTTCAACGTTTTCATACAACGAAATTCACACCGCACTTAGAAAGTGTGGCTTCATGTTATGGAAAGTTCATTATCTGAATAGCAATGGAAGATGTAGATGTTAAGGGTTATCCAACTGCGTAAATGATTTAACTGTGATTTACTACATGGAATACAGTGGTGGCAATAATTATATGCCACCCCACCTTTTTGCGTCACAGCGTCTTTGATTGGCCTAAATGTCAATATACTTCGTCCAATCAGGATGAAACATCACCGCGCCCTCACTGGCGGTGATGGCGTAATGGTTTGGGGAGGTTTAGCAGCCGCGGCAAGACTGAGCTTACCATTTGGAGGGTAAGCAAGACGTAGGAAGCTACATATCTACGCTTTCCAATTACATTTTCCGTTTGCGCATTTGGAGCACATGAACGACTGCCGTTTCCAGTAGAACAACGCGCCCATCCACACTGCACGCTCTGTAATGGCGTGGTTCAAGGAGCCTGAAGTGTCGATTGACGGTATCAAGTGGCCTGCCAAGTCGCCCGACTTAAGCCCCATCGAGAAGCTGTGGGGTATTATGTCCCGCAAGGTGTATGACAATGGTCGACGCAAGGTTTCGACAAATGCCGATCTGATTGCTTGTTTGCGTAAAATATGGGACAAAATTGATGTCTCTCTGTTGGAAAAGCTCGTTGCTGGGATGCCAAAGCATTTTGACTTGATTATTGCTGCCAGAGATCGCAAAATTAAACACTAACATGAGATTTGTGCACATGTCATAACATTATTTCCTTTGTAAATTTCAATATTTTTATGTAATTGGCGATGACAACTGTTTCCAGTGCCTGAAACACTCTGAAGATTATCGACTCCTAGATGGTGTACTTCATCTATTGCCAAGTACAACTAAATCTATTCATGACCCCAGTGCACTCACAGCATCCTTGTCATATCACTATTGCCACCACTGTGTGATCAGTATAATCCTGCTCTTCTACACAATCACATTAAAACTTCATGCGGAGACATCTCCGTACCACGAGCCGAATTGAACCCTCCCAACAACGCTGAGTTGGTTTCTACTATTCGTAGGGTTGCATCCATCTGCGACGCAAGAATTGCAAATCTGTTTGGAACGATTCAATGTTCGAATGTTGGCCTGAAGCTCCTCAACAATGGCAACAAAATTCCGATTCAAGCCTAATGCAACATCGAGCCCGAGGCGGGCATTGCGTAGGACAACTTCCAGGTTTGTTGGACTGTGCGCAAGAGGTGAAAAGTGTCGGGCCAACACAGTGTCAAGGGTGAAACCAGACGACTGACCTCTGAAGTTGCGAACAAGCTGGAAGTTGAACAAGTGGCCTTTACTCTCGAGCTCTTTGCAAGCGTTGTCGCCTGGGGTTGCCATCGAGTGCCGTGTGTGTGTGCTGTCGCATTGGTGGTTGGGACAGCTTCTTTTCTAAACACTAAGAAACGCCAAGATTCGCTTCATAAGATCTTGGGATGGCGACAGAGTTTGCATCAATTGTGCTGCGTCAAATTGTAGACGCAGCTGTCTAGTTTTGAACTGACGCAACAACATTAATAATACTACCTCCTTCCGAGTTCAACTATAAGAGCCAGTTCATCTGACATGGATAAATGATGACGACTTGCCATGAAGTGTCGTATTCCAAAAACCTGCAACAATGGATTACTTCAATGGCACGATAACTGTTTGAACTCATGTCTGTCTAGGACCAAGTTTAAAGCAGGCAAACTTTAATATGTCATAGAACATCATCTCAAGCGCTCGAAGAGGCGGGCAATATTTCTTGTGATGCTCTGAAGCGTCAAAAATACCTATCTCACTTGATACACGTCAAATTTCGACTTCAATTGCATGCTTCAAATATACCGGTCATACCGAAAAATACTTTCCAAAAATATATTCAAAGTTTAATATAAGCATAACAAATTGAATCAGATTGAACTCGTCGATATTTGCAATTCGCCAATTTGCAATTCTTCGAACGCATTACATATCACCACTTCGCTCAACATCAGGACCGATTCCACCTCTGCGGACGCAGTGTGGACAAGATCGTCGTCGGTTTGAGAATGCCTTGAGCGAACACAAACGTCGACGGGACACAGCGGTTCTTCGTGCAGTTGATTCTGTCCCTCAATCTGGCACTTCTTTGGAAGGGAGACGCGGAAATCGTTGCCCCCACCACAATTGAGAATCTCAATCAAGACAAACTGCAACGTGCGAAAGTTGGCAAGCAGCGTCGTCCAATGCATGTCACTCCACGCGGCAAGTACGTTGGTGACAATGTCGTCCAATGATCGTGCATGACGCTTTACTTGGTTGGATTGTAGGGCACGAAAAAAATCCAAGATCCAGCACGTTGGTGTCGGGCGAGTTAGCGGGTTGGCAGACGACGGAGATGGCAAATCCATCCGACGTACCAGCGAGTTGAATGCCGTTATCGTCCAGAGGTACGTGTGGGCGCGCGTTGTCTTGTTGGAGTTATATTTCTTTAAAGTCATGAAGGGGTCAGTTTGTTTTGATCGCCGGTATGACTTTTTCTAAGATCATCCTCTTGTAGACATCGCCATGAACACAAGAGGTGTGGCTATCGGTGTTCTTTTGACGCGGTTCTTGTTATTTCTGGCGACGGAAACGGCTACTGTCAATGGCCAGTAGCCAATCTTGCCGTCCCACCAGAAATTTGTGGCATTATACCAGCGGGCATAGCAACGGCGCATAGGAACATTACCTATGTAATTGATCAGGCTTATTATATAAATTTGTCGACAATGAGGATAAAGTATTTGTTTTTCACCGGTCTTGGCGGAGGCTTTTCGCGAAAGAGTCCATACAATACACATTTTGGGACTTTGAGGAAGAATTATTTTTCGTCCACATGAACGTAGTTTTCGATTTTTCACAGTGAAGTCCGAGCTAATAAAGCTTAACGCCATTTGCTACGGAAATACATGTTGGATTGGGCAAGATATAGTTTCAAAGGACGGGAAAACTTGCGAAACACAGCCGATTTTAGTTGGTCGTGTAGAACCGATTTTGGCACATTTATTGCAACCGAGAGGTCGCACAAAGTTGTTCGGTCTTTCGCATCAGTAGATTGTATTCTTGCCAAAAGGCCAAGATAGAGGAGCTTGCACCCACATTTCCCTTTCCTCCTAGAAAGGACACTTCCATATTTTCCAACACTAAGTTGTTTGCGTCCTCGTTTCCAAATCTTGGCGATCATTTGTGATGATACACCATACTCCTTCGCAACTTCGCCCTAACTACCGGGGCCAGGTGGCCGTTCCATGTACGTTCGAGAAGGTATCGAAAGATCTCATCGCGGACCAATCCGTCAGGTTGGGATTGCTCCATTGCCGGATTTAGTTCTGCCTGGCACACGTGCCATTTCAAATCCTGTATATCGCCATCACCGAAGTATATATCCCTCAGATGACGTATTGTAAGAATAGAACAAGAATTAGAGGTTCAAAGTGAATTTCAAGCGTAATCCGTCCAAATTTCACCAGGTCTTCCAGTGAAACTCGGAAGGAGGTAGTACGAACTTGTAGGGAAGTACCACAGGGGACATTTTTCCATCGTTACCTGTACACACCACAAGCATATGCCCGAGAGTACTTCGCGTAGCAGGTAACGAGAAGGATGAAAAACAAATTCAGAGTACACCCCCATCACTGTGTTCATTATTCAGTGTACGTGAGTGCTCGGGAAGCACAAAACTTCACTTTGAAGTTTGGCGACTATTTCAATGACCACGGCATGTTCAAACGGTACGAAAAGGCCAACGGCGGCCGTGGCAAGTGCGAGAAGAGTGGAGCTGTTGTGTACCCGAAATGCCGAGACGAATACACCTCCTTTGGCTGTACCCGAAATGAAAAAAGGGGTTCACCTCCTTTGGCTGCTGCATGTGCCGCCCCAGTCCACCAGATTGCGAGAAGCTTGGGCTGGCAGGCAGAATCGACCTGTCTTGTGCAAAGAAAATAATCATCGGGAGTTCCCATTTGCGTACGTGTGCGCCGTACGAAGAGCTTCGCGCTGGGTTTTGCTACAAAAAGTGTTTGAAGGGCTTTTATGGTATCGGGCCGATCTGCTGGAAGCTTGCCCCGCCTGAATGGTTCCAATGTGGCAAGGGCGCCACCAAGACGTCGAAGGAATGCGATCAAATCAATACTGACAAGATCTTGTCATTCGCCTCGTTGGTGCTCAAAATTTCCACGGAGTTCACGTCAAGAGGTGTTCAATGCTAAGGTCAACTCGGGGAAGTTGACCACGCTCAACGAATTCCATCAAGTCCTCGTCCGCAGTTCAAAACGCCATGAAAGCGTACGACGACGCCAACCGCCTTGAATCGGGTTACCGGTCCATCCAGGACCTTGTAAAAGAGGTCCGCACGACGAGAGACTTCGTGCAACTTGCAACGACGATGTCGTTGATTTTGAATTACACTCACATCTCGGGGGGATACAAGTACTTGACGTGCGACAAAGTTGCCGATCCAGACGAGTGCATCCTCGAGGAAGAGCAATGACGTTCGTATAATTCATGCGCGTTTTGTTGGACCCAGTTGAATGGGCGCCCACCAACCTTGTACGTTATTCACTCTCTGTCACGCTTCAACAATTGATATCCATCGGTCATGAGTGTGCTGGGGCTGGCGCGTTTGATGGCTTACATCGCATCACTTGGTGGGTCGCTTTCGACACGCTAGGCAAACTGGTTCAAACAGTACCTATAGTTTGTCCGCGGGCATTCCCCACGCATGATTTTGAGGCACGATGGTGTGGTTGAATCGTTCCACCAGACCCTGGCCTTGAGGGTGATACGCGGCGCTCGTGAGTTTGTGGATTCCGAGGGTAGCGTACATGGCCGAGGCCAGTTCGGACACGAAGTTGG